AAAAATTAACAATATATTTAAAATAAATTTAAAGTAAAAAAATAATTATTTTGAAATAGAAAGAATAATAATTTATATTTATTAGTTAATAAATTAAAATCAGTAATATTTATTAATATTTTTAAATACTATTTAAAATAATCAAAAGTTGAATTGACTTAATAATATTAATGATAATAATAACTAAGTTCATAAACACAAATATTTGTAAGACCAAACAAATATACTATAAATATATTTTTAAATGCTATCACTTGAACAGTATTTCCTCTGAAAATAAGATTTGAAGATTTTTGAATAATTCTGTTAGTATTCGATGTTTCTTTTAGCTGTCTGAGAGCCATATGCTCATCTTAAATTTCTGTGAGGTGAACGGTTACGTGGGAGGCCTCGCAGTATGTTTGGTACCCATTTCCATTTTGCCAGCCCAAAGTCCACCATACGTGATCCCTCCTCTCTCTGGTAGAACCTACTGTTTTTATAAATCTTTCCCCTGTTTCCATGATGGGAAAATTTTACTTTAAATTTATAAATTGCCCAAAAATTTTGCATCATTCCATAATGTCTATTCCTCTTAAGGAGTATACAGCAATTTCAACGGTAGTTAGTAACCTACCCAAAAACAGGTGTTGAAAGCTCTCTTGCAGCAGAAATAACATCAAAACAATAAGACTATCTTCAATGCTTTCTTAGTCTTTGACTTTGAAAAAGATTCTGAAGCTGAGGCAGCTGCTGCTACTTCCTTGGCTCCAACTGCAATAGCAGCTTCAAAACCCTGATATAAAGCATTAAACAAGATCAACAATTTATCGATCATGAGATAAGTGCATGTTTTCTCTGTGACAAACATCTTAAATTCAAATGGAAAACATATATCCTTGGAAAGTATGACTGGGAAGACGTTGCCAATATATATCAAAGATAGTTTAGAATTACCAAAGTGATCAATGTATGTATGCATTTGGGAATATATAAAAGTAGCAGATTTGCATACATTTAACATATTAGATAAAAAAATAAAAATACCTTGAGGGATATCTGCAGTGAGTGCAGCTGAAGAGAAGAAAGAGTCAGGACTTCCGAGCAATGATGTCCTTGGGATCACATAATTGGAGATTTCTAAAATTTACAAGGCAAGCCTCTTTTAGTTGAATTGTCTTAACCTGAAACTGAAGAGATGCATTGCAGCACTAGAGAAATAGACTGAGAGAGATCAAAGTGTCATAAAATAGGATTGGGCATTACCAGGAGAAATTTGTTGCTATGACTATGACAAGTACCGAGAGGCACCTCTTCTTGTCTTCACATTACATTAATCTCAGAACTAAATCCCCAAATAAGACCATAGTTAAACAAAGAAGTGGTCAACGCAGCTGTCTTGTGCTCTCTACACTTGCCTCGCCTGTAAGGATGAACATTATTGGATTGTTCATTTCTTAGCTACTGCCAGAAATTTTGCCTCCTACTTAGAAGGTAGCATGACACCAGACATCCACCTTAATATCCTTAAATTGTCTTCAATAAGAAGTTGGAGAAAAAAACCCTAATCAGATCCATTTCTTGC